GATTTCATTACAAGTTTTACAAGAAAAGAACTTTTTTCTATAGAAAACGATCAAGCAAAATGCAATAAATGTTCACATATTAGTTCTATTCGTTGTATTGATCAGAACAAGGATCTGGAAAATCATTTTTCGAATGAACATAAACTTGATTACGCTCAAATAAATAATTTTGTCAACTGGCTAAAATTGTATCAAAATGTAATTTATTTTCAAACATTAGAATGCAATGCTTGCAAGAACATTTCTAATGACAATTATTTTAGTTTAATGAAACATTTTATTAAAGAACATCCAATCAAATTTCTCTTACATCTAATATCAAAAAAGTAAGAAAAATATATTTTATTTTTAATATTATATTATCTTTTATAAAACGCGTTTAGAAATTATAATTTAATAACTCTAAATAAATAACTTATCTAAATAAAATTTATCTGTATAATAAGTAATAAAATAAAAAACTAAAATATTTCATTTGTGTTGTATTAAAATTTAAATTGTAATATGTATATTATATATATATATATATATATATATATATATATATATATATATATATATATATATAATACAGAAAGAGAAAACACTGATAAATTTGGTATATCGTTATCTTAACGTTTATTTACATATATTTTTGTGAACGCAATTATAAATATATATTACAATAAAAATGATGTATAGAGTATATAAAATGAATTAAAAAACAGAAATTTGATATACATGTATTTATCATAAATAATATTATTTAATATCGAGGCAATTTAATATATAGCACATATCAATTTATATTATATTAAAATACAGTAAAAAGTTTAGTATATTTAATATTTTTATCTAATAAATAACGATGGTGGTGAATATGTTTAAATAATAATGAAAGAATTTATTTGTTCGAACAGTATTTGCATATGTCGATCTTTTATTATGAGATGTTGCGATAATAAGTTTTTTCTTATTAATAATGATTTGTGCTTAATAATTATATATTATAACAATAATAAATTTATACATATATAATAATTATTTGTAAATCATCAATTTTATTTTTTCCGTACAGATTATTAGATAATTTACAAATTTTAAAAATATTTAATGATGCCAAGGATATTGCTAAACCAGGAGGCAGCAATCAGCAGCCACGTCAGAATATTAACCAAAGTTCTTTCAAAATCACATCACCAAGGTAAAAAAAACCAATAAAATCAGACTTACTATATTTCTTGTTTCATTTATTCGTCTATTTACTTTATTTATGTACATGTATAAGTACAATAGATATTACAAAGAGTAGAATTGTATATATATAAATTTGTTATTTACTATATTTAATACTCCTGTAATTTATAACAATTTAGATAAGTATATAGATTGTGAATAAATAGGAATTATATAATCTGTTAGAAATGTTTGTGTTTGAACATTTTAATATAATTGCATATACTACTAAATTTTATTATATAAATTAATTCAGAAATTTTTATCTTTGTGCGCAGGTTATCAGATATTTCAGAGTTTAAAAGTTCTGATAATGACATAGAAAATGTAGGTACATCAGCAATAAGCAGCTATGATCAGCCAACTCCGAATATTGATCAAAGCTCTTCCAATAACACATCAAAAAGGTAAAAGAAAGCAATACAATGATAATTACTATATTTCATCTTTTTAATTATTCATCTATATTTTTATGTATACGTATAAGTAGATATTACAATGAATAGAATTGTGTTGCATAAATAAAATCATAAAATTTCGTCAGTTAGCATATGTGTTTGCCCTTAAGTATTTTAAATATTCGAATCAAGATTACTTAGCCATATTCAAAAAATACGAGTAATATAAACTTGTTAGTTATTATATATTCTTATTATATTCAATATTCTTATTATATTCAATATTCTTATAATTAATAAATTATGATATTTTTGTTATATATAAAATTGTTATATGAATTAAAGAATTGGTCAGAAATTATTCGAATGGAATTTATATGTTGAATATAATAAAAATTTGAAATTCGATTTTACCGTGAAATATATTTATTAATAATAAAAGTGTTTTGTTAAGGCTCCTGCGTACTCGCCGCGGCTATGTTAGATTGTGATGTCAGATGCGAGAAAATTTGAATGCTATTTGTAAATAAAAAGTTATTCTAATGAAACAGAAAATTTCAGATAGCTTTAGTATACTTTTAAAATATTTTGAACACTGTCCTTTTTTATAATTAATTTGCAGTTGTAAAATGTGGCAATAATATAATATGAAATTTGAGGTTTAATCTGTACTCGTATTAATTCTTGCACGCATGCACAGCTATTTCGCAGGACAAAGTCTTATGTTTCAATTTTTATTTACGGTTAAAGATTGACTGCGCCAAAAGAAAAAATAGTTTGCGAAGCATTTTAAAAAAGATAATACCATCTAATGTTGTGCCTTATCAAAATATCTTTCTGTCTATAAATGGCACGCAAATATTTTGAAGTATATGTTTTGCCTCTGACGTTACAATCTAACATAGTTGCGAGTACCAAAAAAAGCCATAATTACCACAATTCATATTTAATAATTATACATTGTACATACACATTATATAAACAAAACATTATTATATTGATTAATTTAGTAAATTTTATTTTTTATTCCGTGTAGATTAATAAATGATAAAGATTTAGATATTTCAAATGCTGATGATGATGCTGAAGATAATGCTACATCAAGCTGTCAGCAGCCAGTTCAGAATGTTGATCAAAATTTATCCAAAATTTCACTAACGAGGTAAAAGGAAATTACGATAAAATCTGTATTACTTTATAATTTCATTTAAATCATTTATCTACATTTTTATATACATAAAAGTAATTATTAAAATACGTAGAATTGAATATAATTGAATTGAGTCGTAAAATTTATTTAGTATGTAGGCTTATCATATTTTTATCGTAAATAATTTAAATATTTGGGACAAAACGTAATTTATGTTAGCTATTGTTATATCAAAATACGATAATAAAAATTTATTAATCATATGTTCAATTTTCTTATAATGAATAAGTTTTGACAATTTATTAAATAAATGTAAATTGTGAATCATATAAATTTAATAAATCTACAGGAATATTTGTACTTGAAAAAAAAAAAAAAATATATATATATATATATCAAATTTATAAGAATATTGAATTCAAGTTTTCTGTTAGAGATATTTTAATAATAATAAAGTGAGAGATGTTTTAATAAAAGTGTTTTATTATTAATTAACAGTTTATATTAAATAAATATATATATATATATATATTTATATATATATATATATATATATATATATATATATATTATCATTTTGTTTAATCTAACCGAATACAATTATGTGCGCAAAGCAATGTTATATTATTCTTTGATAATAAAATCTTAAAAATTTACTTTAGTCATTTTGACAAGACTAATCTTTGCTAACTTATTTAAAATTAAAAATTGAAAACATTCGCATTTTATTGTAAATTATTCGTGACTGTATAATTTTTATATTCATTTTTCTAATCTATAGAATTATCGGCATTGGATTACAAAACTGTAACTGTTAAAACACACGTTAAAATACAAATATCTTTCTGATATTTACATTTATACAATAAATTATATGTATATACGAGTCTTTCACGACTTCTCATTTTTTTCTGTCTGATATCTTCTATATGCTTAGTTAAAATATTTTCTTTTTGTATTTATTGTTAGTAGTGCACGACAGATAATACAAAGTAGATATATCATGGACACGTCAAGCTTAGAAGATAGTAATTGGTTTCTGAATTTTTGCACAATAGAAAATAATATGGCAATGTGCGATATTTGTTCCTGGAAACATAATCTTCTTGACGACCAGTTAAAGCTAATAGAATCTCACTTGATACTCAAACATAAGGAATCTTATTGGACTATTATCAATTTATCAAGAATCAACTTTAGATCATATGAATCGACGCAAGTTTATGCAATAAAAAATAATGACGTTTACTGCAATTTTTGTGAACAAATTTATTTTGGAGGAAACGAAACGTTCCGTTATATACAAAAGCACATAACGGATATTCATATAGATGGAATAAATAAAGCAAAAGAAATCTGCAATTGGCTACAAAAACATTTTGGCAAAAATATTGTGGATGCAAAATCATGCTGCTGCAATCATTGCAATAATGACATTCCCAATAAACCAGCATTTTTAATGATTCATTTGGAACAAGTGCATGATGAGATTAAAATACCTGAGGAGATCAGACCAACAAAGTAAGAATTTAATGTTATTACTTTTTGTTTATTAAATTATTAATAAATAAATAAATAAAAATTAATTTATGTACAATACGTAGAATTGTGTGTAAATAATAAAATCATAAAATATAAATATTTGACATATATTTATCATAAGTGATATAAAGATTCAAGTCTAACACTATACTGTCGAGTACTGTATTTTAAAACTCTTATAATTAGTGATATGTGACAATTTGAATATAAGTGAAATTTTGAATAAATATAAAAAGTGAATTATATAAGAAAAAAGAACTTTTGTACTCGAATAGCATTTTTATATTGTTAATTTATGGAAATATCAAATTCGAATTTTGAGAGACGATCGAATACTAAAAGTGTTTTATTAATGATTGTGTTTCATAATTATATTTACTGTACAATTTATACACAGGATTTAAACAAAACTTTATAATATTGATTAATTCAGCATTTTTTTATTTTTTTATTTTTTACTCTTTATTATACAGATTATGGGAGTCTACTGCAAATCGCAAAGAATGGATGTGGAAATTTGTTACAAAATACTTATTAACAAAAGGAGAGGAACGTGCAAATTGCAATATTTGTGGTAAACGTTTATCTATTACCGTAGATTACGCAACTATAAATAGCCACATATATAATAAACATAAAACAGATTATGGAAAACGGATTCCATTACAAGTTTTACAAGAAAAGAACTTTTTTCTATAGAAAACAATCAAGCAAAATGCAATAAATGTTCACATATTAGTTCTATTCGTTGTATTGATCAGAACAAGGAACTGGAAAATCATTTTTCGAATGAACATAAACTTGATTACGCTCAAATAAATAATTTTGTCAACTGGCTAAAATTGTATCAAAATGTAATTTGTTTTCAAACATCAGAATGCGAGACTTGCAAAAACATTTCTAATGACAATTATTTTAGTTTAATGAAACATTTTATTAAAGAACATCCAATCAAATTTCTCTTACATCTAATATCAAAAAAGTAAGAAAAATATATTTTATTTTTTAATATTATATTATCTTTTATAAAACGCGTTTAGAAATATTATAATTTAATAACTCTAAATAAATTTTATCTATAATAAGTAGAATTGCATGTAAGTAAAATTATAAAAACTATAATATTTCATTTGTGTGTTTATTAAATATATTAAAAATTAATGTTATATTAATATATATATATATAATACAGAAAGAGAAAACACTGATAAATTTGGTATATCGTTATCTTAACGTTTATTTACATATATTTTTGTGAACGCAATTATAAATATATATTACAATAAAAATGATGTATAGAGTATATAAAAATGAATTAAAAAACAGTAATTTGATATACATGTATTTATAATAAATAATATTATTTAATATCGAGGCAATTTAATATATAGCACATATCAATTTATATTATATTAAAATACAGTAAAAAAGTTTAGTATATTTAATATTTTTATCCAATAAATAACGATGGTGGTGAATGTTTAAATAATAGTGAAAGAATTTATTTGTTCGAACAGTATTCGCATATGTCGATCTTTTATTATGAGATGTTGCGATAATAAGTTTTTTCTTATTAATAATGATTTGTGCTTAATAATTATATATTATAACAATAATAAATTTATACATATATAATAATTATTTGTAAATCATCAATTTTATTTTTTCCGTACAGATTATTAGATAATTTACAAATTTTTAAAATTTTTAATGATGCCAAGGATATTGCTAAACCAGGAGGCAGCAATCAGCAGCCACGTCAGAATATTAATCAAAGTTCTTTCAAAATCACATCACCAAGGTAAAAAAACCAATAAAATCAGACTTACTATATTTCTTGTTTCATTTATTTGTCTATTTACTTTATTTATGTACATGTGTAAGTACAATAGATATTACAAAGAGTAGAATTGTATATATATAAATTTGTTATTTACTATATTTAATACTCCTGTAATTTATAACAATTTAGATAAGTATATAGATTGTGAATAAATAGGAATTATATAATCTGTTAGAAATGTTTGTGTTTGAACATTTTAATATAATTGCATATACTACTAAATTTTATTATATAGATTAATTCAGAAATTTTTATCTTTGTGCGCAGGTTATCAGATATTTCAGAGTTTAAAAGTTCTGATAATGACATAGAAAATGTAAGTACATCAGCAATAAGCAGCTTTGAACAGCCAACTCATTGTCAGATATTAAAACTGGAAGAAATGTTAGTGTTTGAACATTTAAATATAATTGCATGTGTCTTAAAATTTTATAATATAGATTAATTCAGAAATTTTTATTTTTGTTCACGCAGGTTACCAGATATTCCAGAGATTAAAAATTCTGATAATAACACAGAAGATGTTGGTACATCAACAATAAGCAGCTATCAACAGCTAACCCAGGAATTAAATAATTATGAAGAAATGTTTGTGTTTGGACATTTAAATATAATTGCATCTACTTCCAAATTTCATAATATAAATAAATTAGAAATTTTTATTTTTGTGCGCAGGTTATCAGATATTTCAGAGTTTAAAAGTTCTGATAATGACATAGAAAATGTAGGTACATCAGCAATAAGCAGCTATGAACTGCCAACTCATTGTCAGATATTAAAACTGGAAGAAATGTTAGTGTTTGAACATTTAATATAATTGCATGTGTCTTAAAATTTTATAATATAGATTAATTCAGAAATTTTTATTTTTGTTCAAGCAGGTTACCAGATATTCCAGAGATTAGAAGTTTTGATAATGACATAGAAAATGTAGGTACATCAGCAATAAGCAGCTATGATCAGCCAACTCCGAATATTGATCAAAGCTCCCAATAACACATCAAAAAGGTAAAAGAAAGCAATACAATGATAATTACTATATTTCATCTTTTTAATTATTCATCTATATTTTTATGTATAAGTATAAGTAGATATTACAATGAATAGAATTGTGTTTCATAAATAAAATCAAAAAATTTCGTCAGTTAGCATATGTGTTTGCCCTTAAGTATTTTAAATATTCGAATCAAGATTACTTAGCCATATTCAAAAAATACGATTAATATAAACTTGTTAATTATTATATATTCTTATTATATTCAATATTTTTATAATTAATAAATTATGATATTTTCGTTAAGTATAAAATTGTTATATAAATTAAAGAATTGGTTAGAAATTATTCGAATGGAATTTGTATGTCGAATATAATGAAAATTTGAAATTTGAGTTTACCGTGAAAAATATTTATTAATAATAAAAGTGTTTTGTTAAGGCTCCTGCATATTCGCCGCGGCTATGTTAGATTGTGATGTCAGATGCGAGAAAATTTCAATGCTATTTGTAAATAAAAAGTTATTTTGATGAAACAGAGAACTTCAGATGGCTTTAGCATACTTTTAAAATATCCCGAGCACTGTCCTTTTTTTTATAATCAATTAGCAGATGTAAAATTTGACAATAATATAATATGAAATTTGAGGTTTAATCTGTATATATTCTCGCACGCATGCACAGCCATTTCGCAGGACAAAGTCTAATGTTTTAATTTTTATTTACGGTTATAAATTGACTGCGCCAATAGAAAAAAATAGTTTTCGAAGCATTTTAAAAGAGTGATAATACCATCTAAGGTTGTGCTTTATCAAAATATTTTTTCGTCCATAAATGGCACGCAAAAATTCTAAAGTATATTTTTTGTAAATATAAATTTTAAAGTGTAAGATAGGCAATAAGAGCCATTCGCGGAAGACAGTGCGTTATCCTAACAATACTAAATTTTCTCGTTAGAATTAAATATCTTGTGTACAGGGCATCAAATTTTACTTGGTCACGGCCAAGATTTAAAATATGAAATAATCTCATTTTTGAGATTTAATTTCAATAATCCTATAACCCCCCTACAGAAAATAAATAAATGCAAGAGAAAAATATAGATCCGAAAGTCGCTGAATCGGGAATCGAACCCGAGACTTTTCGCTTGCCGAGCGACTGCTCTTCCACTGAGCTATTCAGATTTTTTCGATTCTATACTTTTCTCTGTTACAGAGCCGTGTTAAACTCTTATTCGTATATTTTTTGCTTCTGGCGTTATAATCTAACATAGCTGCGAGTACCAAAAAAGCCATAATTAACACAATTTATATTTATTAACTATACATTGTACATACACATTATTTAAACAAGACATTATAATATTGATTAATTCAGTAAATTTTATTTTGTAATTTTGTTTAGATTATTAAATGATATAGATTTAGATATTTCGAGTGATGATGATGATATTGAAAATAATGCTACATCAAGCTGTCAGCAATCATTTTAGAGTATTGATCCAAATTCCCTAAAAATTTAACTAACGAGGTAAAAGAAAATTACGATAAAAATGTATTACTGTGTATTGTATATAGTATATCATCTCTTTTCAATCATTTATCTACATTTTTATATACATAAAAGTGAATATTAAAATAAGTAGAATTGTGTATAATTGAATAAAATCATAAAATTTAGATACAATTATTATATGTTTATTGTAAATAATTAAAATATTTCAGACAACACATAATTTTTGGTAACCAAAATTATATCAAAATACGGTAATACAAATTCGTTAATTTTACTATGTTCAACATTCGTGTAATTGATTTTGTGACAATTTAGATAAATGTAAATTGTAGAAAATTATATGAATTGTATAATTTGATTGGAATGTTAATACTTGAAAAAATATTTATATATCGAATTTATGAGAATATTGAATTCAAGTTTTTCTGTGGAAGATGTTTCAATAAAAGTGCTTTGTTATTAAATAACAGTTTATATTTAAATAATTATACATTGTGCGCATTATTCAATCAAGACATGTATAAAATCAGTTAATTTAACAAATTTTATTTTTATTCTGTGCAGATTAAGTGACGATGACAAGTTTGAATGAAGACTTAATTACTAACAATGATGGCCAAATTATTTTCCTTAAGGAGTTTGAAATGGTAATTAAAATTAGGATGCTTGCTATTACGGATATAATAAAATATGAAATTAAAAAATAAATGTGTATTAATATTGTATTTTTATGTAACTAAATGTGTATTAAATTAAACGATTGATTTGGATGTGTATTAAATTTTGTGTATTTTTTATGTAATTAAATGTGTATTAAATTAAAACGAATGAATTTGACGAGGTTCGGTCGAAAGTTTCATTTTCAAGATAAAATTCTGAATTTTGTGTGAAATATGCGTGGTGGTTCTAACTTTTATTTTTGAGAAAGCGAACAAATATTGTTTACATAAATAGATTCTTCGTGTACATAATAAAATTCGACAAATCAAAATTATATACATATTGTAAAATTAAGAATTATGATTATGCACATAATCAACATACAGCGAATTAAAATTTCATGATATGGAAATTCGGCGAATCAAAATTATGAACTATAATATAGAAATTATTCTATGAACTGTAATATAAAATTCGACGAATTAAAATTATCTACATATAGATATTCGCCGAATTTCCGAGTTCCTTTGACGGGGTACGTTTGATATTTTTGAAATACAATTTTCTTATAATACTATGTAGCATATTATATATATTGTACGTATCATTTCGTTTAATATAACATATAATTACGCATGCAAAGCGAAGTTATATTATTATTGATAATAAAATATCAAAATTGCATGCATACAAAATTATTATTGCAATAATGCAAAAATATTAATTATTTATGCAACGCATAAAAATTCAATATTTAAATCTTTTACAGAAAATACGAACAAAGAAATAAAATTTATACAAGAATCTGATTAAATTCTACACTTTCATTAAACTCGCGCGAAACTCCATGCCCCATACTCCGTAATGAGACTGATTCACGAATGCGATGAACACGTGATCAGTGGTCAAATGATCAGTAGTCATGTGCATTGTAAAATATTATAATAAAACATTCCATTAATTTATATTTTTGCATGTTACAAATATCTAATTAAAGAATATTTTTTAGAGAATTTTTCCCTTAAATTAAGACGATCCTTTTGACAGATCTGTGCAGATTTTTTGTATAAATAAATCATATAATAAACATTTAAATAATATTTTATTTATAACAGATCGCTGCCATGCAATTCTTTCACTGTAAAATGTAAAGTGTTTCCAAACTTATGGAGGGTACTGTATAATATATAATTTTAACTATTTACATGAACTATTTTTCTCTTTCGAGTATAAAATCCATAAAATATGTCTGAAAATTTTGAAGAATTATTAACGCAGGATTAAGAAGAATAATATATATAATATTTTCATACCATTATATAATAAGATTATTAAAAATCTGTAAAATTTATAGTAAAATTTAAAATTTAACGAAAAATAAACTGTCTGTATATAATTTTTATTTAACATAATTTTGACTATTTGTTTGAATTATTCATCCCTCTATCTCCTTCTCTATAAAATATAGAGTCTGTAAATAATATCAGTAAGTTTGACGAATTATTAACCCAAAATTGAAGATAAGAATTATTTACACATATTTTCTGTCATATACAAGATGTCCCAATTTTACAAGATTACTCATTAATGAGATTCTTAAGATTATTTAAAGACGATTTTTTTTTCTCAAAAGGAAGGTGATCTTTTTTGCAGGCTCCTAATTTTTGTTACCATATATTTTTGTGATTAAGTTTTAAATTAAAATTTTAGTATATTAAATTAAATTTAAAATTAACTGAATAATGTTATTGTGTTGATAATTTATTTTTACAAGGCTTATTAGCGAAAAAACCTTTCATTTACAATTGCTTATAACTTATAAATTATTAATATCTCGACATTAATCCATAATTAACCATAAGTCTGGGACACCCTGTATATATATATATATATATATATAATATTGTATATATGTACCATTTATCAGGTTTTTCAACGAGTTTCGTCTCAAATTCAAGAACGAGTGAGTGCGAAACAAAAACGCAAAGAGACTAAACTTGCTACATGAACAAGTTGGTTTTTCAATTTTAGCTTATAAAGCTTTTTACATACATTACAATTTTTCACATAAAATATTTTTAAAAATTCGAGAATTTACATAAAAAATTATAATTTAAAATTTTGTAAAAAAGAAATATTTCACCGATCCTTATTTAAATTCAATATCAATCATCTTTTAATAGTACCTACTCTATTTATGTAAAAGAATTTGGTTTAATATTTTAAAATTTACAGAAGTTAGAGCAATTACAAATATTCTTTGAAAAATTGAAGGTACATATTAAAATCTATAACACTATACGAATTTTTATAAAAGTAACGATAAATATAAATTGTACTAATTTACTTACATCCTAAATAAGCGCTGTAGCTCAAACAATTCTTGAGTAATAAATGTTTGATTTTTTGGAAAAGTAGTTTACATACATGCATGCATTAAAAATATTATTTTATTGAACTGCCCAGAAAAAATATTTAACATCTTAATAGCTTAATATCATCGAACTGTAGGCAATTTGAAAATGCAGATTTCCTCCTTCAGCATTTCTAAAGCAATTGGCAGATAAAAGAATGAGACAATATTCCTCTGGAAAAAGACAAATAATGGCCTAACATCTTATTAATAAACAAATATAAATATTTTTTTACAGTTGTTCACATTATTTTGTTTAGCCCCTGTATATAATAAGCAAATATATTAACATATAAATATAAATACAAAATAAAACATCTTTTTAATTATTTCAGCATACATAAGAATTTTATATAATATTTCATAGATTCGGCATTTTGTCTTTTTTTTTTATTAATTAGATAATTTACTTAAATCATTTTGACAAAACTAATCTTTGTTAACTATAAAAGTAGAAAAGGGAAAAATACGCATTTATTGAAATAATATTTACAATAAAATAATTTTTATAATTTATTTTTAATAATAATTATAAGATATCTGTTATATAAGATCATCGGCACTGGATTACAAATACCGTTACTATTAAAACACAAATTTGTTTTTAAATATAAATATTTACATTTATACAATAAATTATATACGCGTTATTTCACGACCTTTCCTTTTTCTTCTGCTGATAGCTTCTATATTCTTCGTTAAAATATTTCTCTTTTGTACTTATTGTCAGTAGTGTACAATTTCTGATACAAATCAGATATCATGGCAACATCAAACTCAGAAAGTAATACTTGGGTTTTGGATTATTGCACGATAGAAAATAATAAGGTAAATGCGATATTTGTTCCTGGAAACATAATCTTATTAAACAACAGTTAAACCAAATAAAAGCTCACATAACAAGTAAACATAAAAAGATTTATCGGAGTATTAGCTCATCATCAGTAATCAGCTTTAGATCATATGAATCGACGCAAGTTTATACAATAAAAAATTATGACGTCTACTGCAAATTTTGTGATGAAATCTATTTGGAGAAAACAAAGCGTTCAGTAATATACAAACTCACATAACGAAAACTCATAAAGTTGAAATAAATACAGCAAAAGATATCTACAATTGGCTGCAACCACATTTTTACGAAAATAATATAAATGCAAAATCATGCTGTTGCTATTATTGCAATAATGACATTCCAAATAAACCAGTATTTTTAATGTTTCATTTGATACAAGTGCATGCGGCTAAAATACCTGAGGCGATCAGACCAACAAAGTAAGAATTTAATATTATTACTTTTCGTCTATTCACTTATTAATAAATAAATAAATAAAAATAATTTATGTACAATACGTAGAATTGTGTATAACTAACAAAATAATAAAATATAGATATTTAACATATATTTATCTCGAGTAATATAATTATTCTAGTCTAGTATTATACAGTGAAGTACTGTATTTTAAAACTCCTATAATCAGTGATATGTGACAATTTGAATATAAGTAAAATTTTGAATAAATAAAACTGAATTATAAGACAAAGAGAACTTTTGTACTCGGATAGCATTTTTATATTATTAATTTATGGAAAATTCGAATTTTGAGAGACGATCAAATACTAAAAGTGTTTTATTAATTTGTGGTTTTAATAATTATTTATTGTACAATTTATACACATGATTTAAACAATCTTTTAATATTGATTAATTTCAATTTTTACTTTTTTTATTTTCTACTCTTTATTACAGATTTTGGAATAGGGAATAGTTTGCAAATAACAGAAATGGATGTGTAAATTTTGTCACAACATATTTAATAACAGAAGGTGAGGAACGTACAAATTGCAATATTTGTGATAACGTTTATCTATTAACGTAGATTACGAAATATAACACACACATATATGATAAACATAGAACAGTTTCATGAAAACGGATTTCAGTACAAGCAGTTTTACAAGAAAGAATATTTTTTCTATAGAAAACTATCAAAAAAATGCAATAAATGTAAATATACTTGTCCTATTTCGTTATATTGATCGAAACAATGAACTGGAAAATCATTTCTCGAATGAACATAAACTTGATTACGCTCAAATAAATAATTTTGTCAACTGGCTAAAATTGTATCGAAATGTAATTTATTTTCAAAACATTAGAATGCAATGCTTGCAAGAACATTTTTAATGACAATTATTTTAGTTAATGAGACATTTTATTGAAGAACATCCAATCAAATTTCTCTTACATCTAATTCAGAAAATAAGAAAAACATACTTTATTTTTTTATTTTATATTATCTTTTATAAAGCGCGTTTATAAATATTATAATTTAATAACTTTAAATAATTTTTATCTATATGAGTAGAATTGTATGTAAGTAAAATTATAAAAACTAAATATTTCATTTGTGTGTTTCTTAAATATATTAAAAACTAATGTTATATTATATATATATATATATATATATATATTATATATACACTATATATATAATAATAATCAGAAAAAGAAACACTGATAAATTTGGTATATTTATTATTTTAACGTTTATTTACATATATTTTTGTGAACGCAATTATAAATATATATTACAATAGAATGATGTATAGAG